CCCCACCCACTCACCCACTCCACCCACTCCACCTACCCCACCTACCCCACTCACTCCACCCACTCCACCCACTCCACCGACCCCACCCACTTCACCCACTCCACCCCCTCCATTGCAATGTGCTATGGTGCCGCAGTCATTTGATATATTTGGGCATATTCAGGGGGGGCAGTTGGGAACTTGGCATGCATGAGCCTTTTAAAAAAAAAAAAAAGAGGAGGGTGAGCTTGCATGCATGTCAGCGCTGTTGAATCGTTAAACCACCGGTAAGTACATGGCGCCATGTTCTTACCGGTGGTTTAACGACTCAACAGCTGGTGGCCATTGTGGTCCGGTTAAACCACCGGCAACTTAAGCAAAACACTATCGGATCAGTCTGAAAAGTTTGGAGGCTCTGAGCAACCGGACCAAAATGGCTGGCGGCACCTGAGCCAAAACAAAAACAAAACTGCCATGCCATTTTGGTCCGGTTGCCCAGAGCCTCCAAACTTTTCGGACTCCTACTACAAAGGATGGCCGGGGTGTTTTGTTTGGCAAAGCTTGACACGCAGAGGGAATCCGCCTCGTACAAAAGGGGCTCGGATGAACTGGAGGTTTAAGGAATGAAGGGTCTTGTGGGGGGTATGAAATGTCCGGGCAAGAGGGAATGCATTCGGGTCGAGGGGATGAACAAAAGGGAAAAAGGATGGAACATGGATGGATTCAGGGTAAGGCCAGGTGCATGGTGTGCGCCTGGTCGACAGTTTGGTATAGAGTCACATTCGCATTCGTGAGATTCTGGGCTCGTTATGTGTAAGGAAGTGGTCAAGTAAAACTGTAAAAGGTATGCCATGCTATGCCCCTAGGATTGATCTTGATCTTGCGAGGTTCAGCTTCTGTCTCTTTTGTTTTTTCTTTGGTTCCTCCTCTCTCTTGCCATGGATCAATTGATTCAGGATATCATTCAGCTGATTGTTTTTTTTCAAATTATTTGTCAATTTCTTGATGGAACCAGCTGGTGATTGCAACATTGGTGGGCATCAACGGTATGGCCACGGGGATGATAATGGCTGCAGCAGGACTCCTCTTGGTGCAGACGGTATATATTTCATTCCTCTCTCTCTCTCTCTCTCTCTCTCTCTCTCTCTCTCTCTCTCTCTCTCTCTCTCTCTCTCTCTCTCTCTCTCTCTCTCTCTCTCTC